GAAGTTCAAGATCTCAAAGGTACAGAATTTCTACATCAATGGCTTCTAACGTTTTAAGTTTGCGCAGGGAACATACGGGTGTATTGCAGAGTAAGGCCATCGTCAGACCCTGTAGGATCTGTCGAATTTATTGGTGAGAATGGGGAAATTATGATTGCTAATAAGGAGTTACGCAAGTCGTTTTGCTTTAACCGGATTTTTGGTCCTCGTGCAACTCAAGGTTCGTTCTGCACATGGTATGCTCTTCATTTGCTCACCCTGTTGGCATTTACAGAGTCTGTGTACCTTGATACTCAACCTCTCATTCGATCGGTACTTGACGGCTACAATGTTTGCATCTTTGCTTATGGTCAAACTGGATCCGGAAAAACATACACGATGGTTCGTTTCTGATAGTATTTTCTTCTTGTGACTTGTCCTTTGTGATGCAGAGTGGTCCTGATAATCTAACAGAAGAAACATGGGGTGTAAATTATCGAGCCCTCCATGACTTGTTCAAAATTACCACCGACCGCAAGAACCTGTTTCAATATGAGATCGTGGTTCAATTTCTGGAGATCTACAATGAACATTTGAGGGATTTGCTCACTGGAGATTCTGGAAACAAAAAATATCCTTTGGTGTCCTGGTCCTGACTTTTACTGATAGCTTTCCTTGACTTTCTTACGCTGGAAATTCGAAATTGTTCGCAGAAGAATGGCATTAACGTCCCCGACGCGACCATGATGCCAGTGAATTCGACCGCGGATGTCCTGCAGTTGATGAAGCTTGGCCAGAAGAATCGTTCTGTTGGTTCAACAGCCATGAACGAAAGAAGCAGCCGCTCTCACAGGTGCGTCAATGTGCAATCCCGTTTCCATTTTACAAATTCCGGCTTTTCTTTTAGTGTATTGACGGTACATGTCCGAGGCAAAGACCTGAAGACTGGTGCTGTTCTACATGGGTCTCTTCATCTCGTAGATCTTGCTGGGAGTGAAAGAGTTGATAAATCTGAAGCCACTGGAGAACGCCTCAAAGAAGCTCAGTATATCAACAAGTCCCTTGCAGCTCTGGGAGACGTGATCGCGGCGTTGAGTGTGAAAAGCTCGCACGTGCCTTACAGGAATAGCAAGCTGACTCAACTTCTTCAAGATTCCTTAGGTACTTCCAATTCCAAAGGCTCTTTCGACTGACATTGTCGTGTTTTCTGTCAGGTGGCCAGGCAAAAGCTCTAATGTTTGTACATATGAGCCCAGACATTGAGTCCTTTAGTGAGACGCTGAGCACGCTCAAGTTCGCTGAGAGAGTGGCCACTGTAGAACTTGGAGCGGCACGAACTAACCGAGAGAGTGGTGAAGTACGGGATTTGAAAGATCAGGTACGTTATGCATGTTCCTGGGTGTCACCCGTAACACAACCATTTCTCCAGGTAATGGCATTGAAAGAGGCGATGGCCAAGAAGGACGCAGAGATAGAAAAGCTAAAGCTTGGTCTAATACCGAAGACAAGGATAAAAGGCACGCCACTCAGAGGCTTGCTGGCACCGGAAGCTACCATGTCAGCAGAATGGCACCTTACAACAGAGGACAGTTCACACTCGTCGTCTACAAGCCCGGACGAAGAGGTCTTTGAGTCGTGTTTGAGCACCGATAGCGGGAAAGACGAAGCGAGCTGTCCGGAGTTACTATTCTCGTCGTCTCCGAGTAGGCCTACTCCCAAACGAATTTTGCAGGAGAAGGTTCTCAACGCAAAGGCAGTCGTCACGACTTCATTTTCAGGGAAGCCAAGACTCAAGCCTACAGAACTGACCGCGAGTCAGAAACTCTTGAGAAAGAGCGCTTATTTAAGAGGTTCTTCTTACTTGGATCAGAATTTGGACACAGGTGGCAGATCTCCCGCTAGCATCAGGAAACCGCAACCTGGACCTCAGTGGAGGTTTGTACTCTCATTTCCAGTTACTGTTCCTGGTCGGCTGCTAATATTATATGCTTTCTTCAGGACGCCTTTACAACCACCTAAACTCAAGGCGTCTGATCCACGGCTCTCCTGTGGCGACCAGTTCGCTTCGTCCCGTCGATACTCAAATGTTGGCGTGCCCGCTGATTGCTCGAGCGTGAAACGGTCTTCACTGGGATCGAAGGAATCCTCTCAGTCAGGTGCGCCTTTAGTCACTCTATATTCTAAGCCTCTTTAATCTCTAATCCCCACCCCCCTCTACTTTGATGCAGGCGAGGGAAGCAAGCCAGCATTTGCTCGCCATCTTTTTGCGAATCCAACATCCAAGCCAACTAAAAGGTGGATATAACTTCTCGTTTTTCTTAACCTTGTCTAGAGCGCCTAGACACAGTCAAAATTTTCAAGCTTCTGACGTAGAGCTCACTCTATGAAATGCTCATCTTGTTGTACAGTTGATGCTTGATCCTGATGCTGATTGACCCCTGCGTACGTAACAAACCCGGCATTAGCTGGAGGGCAGTGCCAAGAAAGACGAGAGAAAACGGATCCTCGGTTGGTTTTTGCTCGACTTTTCTTTCCTTGGTTGGCGAATTGTTCGTTCTAACTTCGTCGTGATGGTGGTGGTACCACAGGCATCCACATCCAGTCCATCCCAGCAGCGAAATTTTGCGTCGTGGCGCTTGATCGACGAGCTGCTTGCTTGTAGAGTAATTGTCCCCGCTCGAGAATGTAATCTATGCGGCAGCCACCGAGTTGTCTCATCTACAAACTTGGAGAGAAAGTTCCAAAGATCGGTTTTCTTTTGCAGAGAGAATGGGCCAGGCCAAAAGATTGGATAGAACATTAAAAGAAGTGGGCGATGCGATAATAGAGCTACGAACGCATCCAGGAGGTTCGCAAAATGATGATAGTTGAAACTTCGCGGGAATGCTGACGTGGGAATAGAGATGCCACGTCGCCTTGGAACTCCTTGTGTGAAGATTGTTTGAAATCTTTGCATAACTATGGAAGAAGCAATAATGGTTGTGGAATATTTGGACCATATGATTATGATACATTGAAAAATAATAGACGTATAGTTTTGGCTGTAGAGATGGCAAAGGTGTATGTGCGAGCCATGTGTCCTTCCAGTGCCGCAAAGGCCACACATTCCACGCCAGAAAGCACACTCACTGCCCACTCCATTCCGCGGCGGAATGGAATGCGACCGGTATGGAATCCCCGGATGATCCCCCCCTCTCCCGCGAGCGAGAGAGGAGAGAGCGAGCAAAGAGAATAGAATAGTGTCCCCCCTTGGTGTCCTCCACGCATCATTGAGAAGATTAGAATCCGTTGTGCTCTCCACTTTGAGTCTCGAGATTCGAGAGCGATGATTTTGTTCGCTGCGCTGCGCTTGCTCCTCCGCCTATAAATGTTGTGAGCTGTCTTTGTCTACGCTACGCCTCTTGAGTTGCGCCTTCGTTCTTCCAGTCGGCCTTGTTGTTGTTCGTCCTTCCCTGTAACGTCTCTAGTCGCTTTCTCGGGCTTTTCTCCGCACAGGGTATCTTTGTCACGACTCCACTCGCGAGAAAGTTTTTGCTTGCTTGCCTGCTGTGAGCGACTTCGAGAGAGCCGAGAGCTTGTTGGTGTTGATCTTCCCACCAGCCCTCCAGAGCAGACTTTGAAGCTTCATGTGATTCTCACCCGCACGAATCTCATCCGTCTCACACGCCACCATGGGAATTCTCCTCCCACATCTGCCAAAGGAATCGCTTACTGAGACTCGAGTCACGAGCATTTCCTCCATACCTGAGGCAGCCGCTTTAAAGGCTCGCGATCTGTCGTCCACCGCCGCTTGTGAGGCCTTGATGGTAAGCTCCAAGTCTCCGCTTCGTCGGTCCGCCGGTATGGATTTAGAATTAGTTCTCCAGTTCGATGCCAACCCGGCCGTGCTTTTGCCTAGCAGCGATAGCGATAGCAACAGCAATGCCTTCTCCAGCACTAGCAGAAGCAGCAGCAACTTGTCCGACTCCTCCTCTTGCTCGGACAACGAATCTCTCTGCTCCTACCGTTGCCTCAGGAGCTTCAACCAGGAGAGCCATGCAGTCTTTTCCCTCGGCCTTGTTCACGATGGCGGAGTCATCTGCGGTGGCCTGGGAAACAACCAGATCTCAGTGTGGAGACACTCGGATGCCACTCACCTTCTCACGTTGAGAAGCAAGCTTCACGCCGGTGCTGTCAAGTCGCTGCTTGTGGCTGGCGACAAGCTCTTCAGCGCTCACCAGGACAAGAAGATCCGGGTGTGGCGGCTTTCCAAATCCAACCACACGCAGCACACTCTCGTCGCAACGCTTCCAACTCTCAAGGACCTGGTAGCAGAATCAACGTCGTCAAGGTTCCCGAGCAAAAAGAACAAGGCCGCAAGATCAGTCCAACATACCGACGTAGTGTCCGCGCTAGCACTCGGCGACGGCGTCGTGTACTCGGCCTCCTGGGACAAGACTGTCAAGGTTTGGAGGCTGTCCGATCTCAAATGCATCGAGTCGTTCGTGGCTCACGACGATGCAGTCAAAGCTCTGGTGGCGAAAGCGGGATTTCTCTACACAGCCTCTGTAGACTCAAAGATCAAGATCTGGAAAAGAGAAGCGAGCGACAAGAAAAGTAGTAAAACTTACCACAGGCACTTGCTGGCCAGAGTTCTTGAGCGTCCAGGCAATTGCTCCAGCGCAGTGAATGCATTGGCACTGGGTGGCGATGGAGGAGATGACAAGGTTCTCTACGGCGGATCCAGCGACTCATCCATCTCCGTGTGGGAATTAAATCCCGACATGGAAGCCGTGAGCTTGAGTGGCCTTCTCAGCGGCCACACACAAGCAGTAGCTTGCCTGGCAACACTCCGCGATCTCCTGTGTAGTGGCTCTGCCGATAAAACCATAAGATTGTGGAGAAGAGAGCGAAAGCAAGGATGCTCACCATCGCATATTTCCTTGTCCGTTGTCCAAGGCCACACCGGCCCCGTCAAATCGATCGTGCTCGCCCCCGACAGGATCGGCCTGTGTAGCATCACCAGTGGAAGCCTCGACGGCCAGGCCAAAATGTGGAGAGTCTATCCCTGCCAGGAGCGAGACGAAGAAGAAAAAGAATCTCCCCAGTCAGAGCGCTTCTACTTCAATAGCAGCGATCCACTCACCGCGAGAAGCGAGGCGCAGCAGTGGAAGCTCAGCACGATCAAGCACGCCCTAGACGAAGGCGGCCACTTCTTCCGCCTTGCATTTGAAACCCTCCAATGCTCATAGCCAGGAACCCTAGCTTTTTAAATTCTAGGGTTCTTCCTTCTTTAATGCAAGTGTATACTGCAGCGCCATACGAGCCTTCTGCGGGGTAACTTGTTTTGAAAGACGAATCGTATCAATCTTGATCGAGTGTCAAGAAAAAAAACCTTTGATATCTTGCGAGACGATTGAGTTACCTTTGCTAGAACACAAGTGAGTGAAAGGATTTCTTCTTCTTCTTCTTCTTCTTCTTCTTCTTCTTCTTCTTCTTCTAGACCTTTAAAACTCTTTTCTCCTGTGATTCCTAGGCTGCAACTCTTCTAGATAATCAGCTCATCGTTGCAAAGCTTTCCAACATCAGCGGAAGGAAAAGAGGCGTGGAACTTGGCAGTGCTAGTGACGATGGCGACTCTAGCAGCAGTGATTTTAACAGTGATGACAAAGAAATGAGTGACAAAGCTCCCAAACTTGAGGTCAGCAACTTGTAGGCAAGATCTTTAGCCAGGTCCGCATGATAGCTCATGAGGGATCATCAATCGCATTTGTGCCAACAAGAACCAGAAACTGAAGTTGTCGAGATATGAAGCTTCTCACCATGGTTTGCGTTGCTCTCATACTTTCACCGGGTTTGGGACTTTCTAGCCTCTTGCTAGAACTTGCCGAAAGCAGCCAGTGCTTTTTCTTGGGTTACAAACCAAGCACCTCTCCAAGTTGTTTCTCATGGGGTGGAAGGATTTGCTTTGGATTGGAGTTCGGCACACCATGGATAGCTCGCGTCGTGCTTTGAACTGATTGATCAAACTTTTTCTTTTGCTAAGCCTTGCTTTTCTTTCATCCAGGCAAGTGAATCATCTTTCTTTGTTGCGTTTACATAAACTTGATGATCAGTGGTGTTCGAGGGTGGATTCCTTTGAGCTTGCGTCTTGCTCCTCCAATGGAATAATTAGTCTGTGGGAGTTTCCACTGGTACTTGGAAAATGGTGGTGAAAGTCCATGACACAGATGCTAACGTGATCTCTTGGAACAGGTATAAAGAACAAACACTTCACTGTCAAGTTCCCCAAAGTCCCAGTTTCAAACAGCAGCTTGCCACTGGTGGTGACGATGGCATCATCCATGTATGGCATCTATGCTCTTTCTTGCGCTTAAATTCTATACTTCCTCAATATCTAAATTTTGCAGGATTGTCATCCCATTTACAGTACTGTTTATCATTCTGCCACAATAATTTCCATCAAATGGTCTTCTCATGAAAATTCCATGTTGGTGGCAACCTCAGCTGATGTAGCGTGTGTCTCTCTTTTCTTGGTTTAGCTCACATTCTATCGTTGTTATGAGCAGTGTGTGGGATTTGGAAGCTTTCCCAGATCAAGAAGCACAAGTGAAACAATCTCCTCAAGGCTTGCCTGAAAAGCATGGTAAAAGTTTTTAGATTAATTTTTTAATATTCCAAAGAGAAGTAAATGTATCTCTTTTCTTCAGGGACAAAGCAACTTAAAAGAAGTTCACTAGCATCCATAGCTACTGGAAACAATCTTCTCAACATCTCTCAGCAATTTCAACGTTTTCAAGCCCTCCAATCTCTAAAATCTAAAGCTCTTCTAAGGCAATCTTGAGTTTAAGCGGGAGGGGGCCAGTTGGAGAAGGTTTACCATGAAGATACTGCGATTGCTCTTAGCTACTATAGACGCTTCTCTCAAGCCGTGCTTTCGGAACAGCAATGAGCGGTTGTGTTTTGTGACAAACCAAGCCATAAGTCTCGTCCATGTTGATGTCAGCTGGATCTTGTCCCTTCGCCAACTTCCACTCGAATCCTTGAACCAGTGTAGCAATGCCAATCTGCAGCGTGTCAAATCCAAGTTTAGCTCCAGGGCACATTCGCCTTCCAGATCCGAATGGCAGCAAGTTGTAATCTTGTCCGAACACATCAATGTCAGCCTCTAGAAATCGCTCGGGCCGGTACTTCATTGGATCTTTCCAGTGTGCAGGATCAATGCCGAGCGAATGGAAGTTGACAAAGGCGCAGGTACCGTTAGGAATGGTGTAGCCACCAAGTTTTGAAGGACCTCCTCGGACTACCTTGGGAAGAGCCAGTGGTGCTAGCTGGTGCAGCCTCAATGTTTCTTTGGCGATTGCAGCAATGAATGGTAGCTGATCCAAGTCTGAATCTTCCACCAATCTGTTGCTTCCAACCACAGAATCTATATCCTTGCGGGCCTTTTCCATGGCGGATGGGTGGCGAAGGAGCTCTGTGATGGCCCATTCCAGTGAGAGTGCTGAAGTATCCACTGCACCAAGCAACATATCCTGAAACAAATTTGGATGACTTATATATTGCAGGAAACCACTTACGAAGAGAAGGGAGAGCTTGGTAATATCTGAAACTTCTTCTTCAGTTGAATCCAGAGAAAGGAGGACGTCAATGAACGGAACAGGCTCATCTCTCCCATACTTTCGAGGGTTCCTTCTATGATCTTGCAGGACAGAAAGCAAGTAGTCGTTCACCTTAGCTATCAGCTGCTTGTACCGTTTCTCCAAGCGTTGAACGTCCAGCCATTTGATTCCTGGGATGAAATCACTGATGTTGAATACCCCTGACAATCTTAAGCTTTCTATAACTGCATCCGCAAAAGCGTCAAGTGCTGCTGTGTTCCTGGCATGCGCCCCGTAGAAACGCTCTCCGAAGAGCATGTAAGTGATGATGTTCACGTTCAGGTTGTGGAACTTGTCTCTGAGCTTGATCGGTGTGCCTTCTGCAGACACAATCGAACGCGCTAGACTGCATTGTTCTTCCCTGCGGATCTTGTCGTAGACTTTGAGCCTGGTTGCCGAGAGCAGATGAGTGTTGACGATCTTCCTGTACAGTTTCAGCTGTGGAGTGTACTCCGCATAAATAATCCCATTGAAATCATTGCCAAAATGCCTGCCAGCTATAGTAGGAACTTTAGAAGCAAACTCAAGGCCACGATACTTGTACAGTTCCTTTGCTGCTTCTTCAGAGCTCACAACTACGAACGGTACTGTACCAAATTTGAGATGCATAATGCCACCGTACTTTCTAGACAGCTCGTGAAGAGACACATGAGGAAGAGGGCCAATCAAATGAAGACAACCAATCATAGGCAGGCTAAATGGTCCAGGGGGAAGATCGCTGGGCTTTCTGAAGAACCATCTTGAAGTGACAATCACAAGCAGCAATACAAGCAACAACGAGTAGCAGTTTTCTTGTAGGAAAGCTGGAATGCTGGACAGAAGCTCCATTCTTTCTATTCTTTGCTGGAAGGAGCACCAAACAGAGCAGAGAGAGGTGCTGGGCTTAAGAAGGAAGAAATTCTCCTACCTTAGCAAAAGAAATAGCCGTCCTTGTGTGACATGCGCTGGACAATGTTTTTGTGTATTGTGTGAAATAGACGTTCTACTTACCTGGCTCCAGTGAGAAGAAATAGCCGGCCTTGTGTGACACGCGCTGGACAATGTTCTTGTGTATTGTGTGAAATAGACGTTCTACTTACCTGGCTCCAGTGAGCAAACAAAGTCGAAGCAATCTGGACCGAGACAAGGAATCGAGAAAACGAGATTGTGTGCCTTATACTGTGGGTTTTAATAGTGATTGTATTGCTTGCAATAATTATGGACAAACTGGATCCTTTGCCGGGTTGACTAATGGAAATTGTTTGTTTTTAAAGGTATCATAAAATATTCCTTGTATACTTCTTTATATACCTTATATTATATAAATATATAAATATAAATAAAGAAGTGATTAAGTTTCATGCTCTTTTTTTATCAAGTTGCAATGTTCTTCTACAATATTAAAAACTGTAAAAAAAAAAATCCATTAATTCCTCTTAGCTTAATTTAGCTTATTTATTGTATAGCTTTTCAATATCTTTTCAATATTGTATACAGATCATCTAATTGGGATTAAATATAATCCATCCATTTTTGTATATAAACAAAGGCTTTTACCCCAATGAATATAACTATTCCTATGTCCTAAACACTCATAATTTCTGAAAGTTCCCTAGAGAGTAAAGTTTTTTGGAAGAGCTTTGATTTAATATTCAAGATTGTGTTTTTGCTTTTATAATTCCCTTAAATTTAGATTTGTTGTAATTTTTGCTTAGATCAAGGATTGTAGCTATCAAATTTGCTCCTTTTTTAATCTTCATTGCATTCCTTTTTTATTTTGTCATGCCACATTGTTCTCAATGTGTTGTTCAAAGCTTTATTCATTATCTAAATCTGGCAACATTGTCTCTATTATTGTATCACACATTGATCAAGTTTTTGTTGTTATGAGGTGTGATTTTGTTAGTGCTACTTCAATCCTCAGTGTGCTTTAGTGGGACATAGTTACACAACTTTTTTACTATTTTTATTATTTACTAGTTACTAGTTACTAGTTACTATTTTTTATATTATGATATCTTTTGCTAATGTGAAGTGAATTTAAAGTTATGGATGCTGCAATTTAGTTCTTAGAGGATTTTGAAAATCAAGAAGATGATGTTTATAAGCTCAAATGGATTCTTGTTGATAAGAAATTCAATTACTTTGAAAATAACTTTTGGAGATAAATTAAATATCCTCCGATGGAACTGTCAGACTGTGGGAGTTTCCACTGGTACTTGCAAAACAGTGGTGAAAGTCCATGACACGGATGCTAACGTGATCTCTTGGAACAGGTATGTGGTTCTCAAGAACAAACACTTCACTGTCAAGTTCCCCAAAGTCCTAGTTTCAAATGGCAGCTCGCCACTGGCGGTGATGATGGTCCATAGCTACTGAAAAACAATCGTCTCAACATCTCCTAGCAATTTCAACGTCCCAATTCCAATTTCTAAGGTGATCTTGAGTTTAAATGGGAGGGGGAGGTTTACAGTAAAGGTACTCTGCAATTGCTCTTAGCTACTATAGATGCTTCCCTCAAGCCGTGCTTTCGGAACAGCAATGAGCGGCTGCGTTTTGTGACAAACCAAGCCATAAGTCTCGTTCATGTTGATCTCAGCTGGATCTCGTCCCTTCGCCAACTTCCACTCGAATCCTTGAACCAGTGTAGCAATGCCAATCTGCAGCATGTCAAATCCAAGTTTAGCTCCAGGGCACCTTCGCCTTCCAGATCCAAACGGCAGCAAGTTGTAATCTTGTCCAAACACGTCGATGTCGGCCTCTAGAAATCGCTCGGGCCAGTACTTCATTGGATCTTTCCAGTGTGCAGGATCTATGCCAAGTGAATGGAAGTTGACAAAGGTGCAGGTACCATTAGGAATGGTGTAGCCACCAAGTTTTGAAGGACCTCCTCGGACTACCTTGGGAAGCGCCAGTGGTGCTAGCTGGTGCAGCCTCAATGTTTCTTTGGCGATTGCAGCGATGAATGGTAGCTGATCCAAGTCTGAATCTTCCACCAATCTGTTGCTTCCAACCACAGAATCTATATCTTTGCGGGCCTTTTCCATGACGGCTGGGTGACGAAGGAGCTCTGTGATGGCCCATTCCAGTGAGAGTGCTGAAGTATCCACTGCACCAAGCAACATATCCTGAAACAAATTTGGATGACTTATATATTGTGTAAAGCAGGAAACCACTTACGAAGAGAAGGGAGAGCTTGGTAATATCTGAAACTTCTTCTTCAGTTGAATCCAGAGAAAGGAGGACGTCAATGAACGGAACAGGCTCATCGCTCCTATACTTTCGAGGGTTCCTTCTATGATCTTGCAGGACAGAAAGCAAGTAGTCGTTCACCTTAGCTATCAGCTGCTTGTACCGTTTCTCCAAGCGTTGAACGTCCAGCCATTTGATAGCTGGGATGAAATCACTGATGTTGAATACCCCTGACAATCTTAAGCTTTCTATAACTGCATCCACAAAAGCGTCAAGTGCTGCTGTGTTCCTGGCATGCGCCCCGTAGAAACGCTCTCCAAAGAGCATGTAAGTGATAATGTTCACGTTCAGGTTGTGGAACTTGTCTCTGAGCTTGATCGGTGTGCCTTCTGCAGAAACAATCGAACGCGCTAGACTGCATTGTTCTTCCCTGCGGATCTTGTCGTAGACTTTGAGCCTGGTTGCCGAGAGCAGATGAGTGTTGACGATCTTCCTGTACAGTTTCAGCTGTGGAGTGTACTCCGCATAAACAATCCCATTGAAATCATTGCCAAAATGCCTGCCAGCTATAGTAGGAACTTTAGAAGCAAACTCAAGGCCACGATACTTGTACAGTTCCTTTGCTGCTTCTTCAGAGCTCACAACTACGAACGGTACTGTACCAAATTTGAGATGCATAATGCCACCGTACTTTCTAGACAGCTCGTGAAGAGACACATGAGGAAGAGGGCCAATCAAGTGAAGACAACCAATCACAGGCAGGCTAAATGGTCCAGGGGGGAGATCGCTGGGCTTTCTGAAGAACCATCTTGAAGTGACAATCACAAGCAGCAATACAAGCAACAACGAGTAGCAGTTTTCTTGTAGGAAAGCTGGAATGCTGGACAGAAGCTCCATTCTTTCTATTCTTTGCTGGAAGGAGCACCAAACAGAGCAGAGAGAGGTGCTGGGCTTAAGAAGGAAGAAATTCTCCTACCTTAGCACGAAAGAAATAGCCGGCCTTGTGTGACATGCGCTGGACAATGTTCTTGTGTATTGTGTGAAATATCTACTTACCTGGCTCCAGTGAGCAAACAAAGTCATACAAGCAAGCTGGACCAAGACAAGGAATTGAGAAAACGAGATTTTATCATAGTGATTATATTGCTTGTAATAATTATTGACAAACTGGATCCTCAATCTAAGCAAAAACTACAACAAATATAATTAAAGAACAAGGGAATCATAAAAACAAAAAGAAGTGTTTAGACTATTAGGGTAAGAGCCTTTTGTTTATATACAAAAATGGATGGATTATATTCTATATATAATACTGAAAAGCTATTGAAAAGCTATATAATAAATAAGCTAAATTAATCTAAGAGGAAATTAATAATAATCTATTTTTGTGCAGTTTTGAATATTGTAGAAACAATATCTTTTCATTTATGCTTTATTTCTATAAGGTATAAGAAGTATATTCTCTTTTTTAAAATACAAGGAATATTTTATGATACCTTTAAAAGGGACAGCCAGCATGAAACAAATAATTTCCCTTACGTATTAGGCCAACCCGCAAAGGCCTTAGGCAACATTGTTTCTACTATTGTATCACACATTAATCAAGGTTTTGATGTTATAAGATGTGATTTTGTTAATGCTACTTAAATCTTTAATGTGTTGATGTCTCTAGCTTTAGTGGGACATAATTACATAGCTTTTACTATTTTTGGTAATATGATATCTTTTGCTAATGTGAAGTGAATTCAAAGTTATGGATGATGCAATTTACTTCTTGGAGGATGTTTGAAAATCAAGATGTTATTTATGAATTTAAGTGGATTCTTGTTAATAAGAAATTCAATTACTTTGATAATAACTTTAGAAATAAATTCAAGATTTTGAAGGGTAAGTGTCAATCATTTAGTTTTTCTCTTTGCCTTTTATATTTTCCCAACTTTTTTCTTGTTTTTTGGCTTTGCCTCTTCAGATTTCTACTATTTCTTCCTTATCTATTGCACTTTTTCTCCTAGCACATTGATCAATTCTAACTCTTATAATTATTGTTCTTAGTCTAGTGTTAAGTTGAGTGCTCTTTGTCCTGCTTAAAATAATTTAGATTTTTTCATGTATTTACTATCTCTTTATATTACTGAATAATATTTTTACCACTACTGACCATGACGTTAATATCTACTATTCATATGGGATTAACATGGCTAATACCTAGATTAAACTTATAGATTAGCTTAGGTTACATAAAAGTAGGGTTTTGAGGAATTTTTAATTAAATATTCAATATAAATTCATATTTTCTTCTATATTTAATATTTAATTAGTAATTTATTATCTTTCTTTTTCTCAACAATGAACTTCTAAGAGATTGAATATTTTGATATCAAAGGCTTTTTTATATCCTCTTCTTCAACTTCAATTATATCAGAAGTCAAACCAAGTATTAAAGTACTCTAGCAAATTATTTAATACCAATAGCAACTTGCTGGTTTAATGAGTATGCTAGCAAAGTTTGAAAACACATAATTTAAGTTTTATGGCTTCCTTAACTAAGTTAAACTTTAAATTGTTATGCAACTTAGCCAATATTCCACTATAACTTTTAGTGTAAGATTAATTAGATTTAGCATGTTCAATAATACTAATTGAGAGTACACCACCATCAATAAGTTACAATAATTTTGGCAAGGCGGAAAATTTAGATTTGTTTATGTATTAAAGCTCTAAATACTTGCTATTGATATTTCATTGAACAATGTAGATCTCAAGGAACATTTTCATCTTAGCTTTTATGACAAGATCAAAGATCCCATGCTTTTTCATCTAGATTCAATATCTTTCATGATTGTTATTGATTTTGTTATTTATTGTGATAATCAATTGTAAGAATGATAATTAGAGTGTAATCATTAAATCTTTATTCCTTATTTAATGTCCTTAATATTGGAACAAATAACACATGAGCAGTTAGTAAATTAAAATTAACATCTATATCTGTTTAAACAAGAAATTCTTAAGTGTCTATTTAACCAAACATCCTTAGTTCGGTTTGTTAGTTTTTTTCTCTTTATTTTGCATTGGTTTATTAAGAATATTATGTATTGAGCACTAATTTCTTTACATGATTACCTTTGTTATCATGCCTTATGTATTATCCTATTTAGTCCCAATAGCTATTTATGAAAAGTGTTTAAATTTGTGAGTAAAATATATTTATAAAATGTAAAAATTGTCGTGAACATAATAGTATTATTCCCACATCAAAATTCACAATCTAACATTATTCCATATTTAATAAGTTTCATGATTGTCCATAAATTAACTCTTAAGACACTCAAAGTGTGCTTTCATATAAGGTGGAAGGGGGGCAGGGGGGAAGGCATGGCTGACTAACATGGGATATTGTCTAGCTCCTTTCTTAGCATGTTTGTTGTGTCTGATTTAGATTACTCATATTTTCAATTGATATATTAAAATAGCATTAAACTCTATTTGGCTTTTTTTTTGCCCATTGTTTTTGGGCCACATGTTCAAGAGTTAAGATTCTACTTTATAATTATTTTATGGTATAAAGTACACTACAAATATTCACTATTTCATTTCTTGAAACACAACTCTTTTCTAGAAGTTAGATCTTCATCGAACATTAGAGATCCTATACTTTTTTTTTTATCTTGAGCTCCTCCTCCCGCTTTATCTATGCTTTTTTGGTGTATCAATCAAAATTGTAAAACAGTTTAAGCTGAAATGTTACCTCCCTAAACCTTAAAAATCATAAAGCTAACAAGATCAATGCTTTAGGGTTTTACTATGGGCGCCAATGCTGCCGCCTTCGCGTCTCTACTGCGCGGCGCCACCGATCTCTCGCAATGCCGCTGGATCCTGGAGCAGCTGATCAACAGCAGGTATGCTGGTGACATCTTCCTGGGGAATTTGGCGCTCCAGATGTTTGGGAAGCTGCATGGCATCGGCGACGCCAGGGCTTTGTTCCACCGGATGGCACAGACCGGGCGAAATCTCTTCTCCTGGTCGATCATGATCTCGGCACTGTGTCGCGACGGGCATCACCGCGAGGCCCTGGGGTGTTACCACGCGATGAATCTGGAAGGGGGCATTGAGGCCGATATGGTGATCTTGTCCACCGTCATTGGCGTTTGCTCCGCGCTCCAGAATCTCTGCGAGGGACGCAAGCTCCACGATCGCGTCGCTGGCTGTGGCCTGGAATCCGACACGGTCGTACACAACGCTTTGGTGAGCATGTATGTGAAGTGTGGCTGCTTGGACGATGCTCGAGCGGTCTTCGACACTACTCCGACGCGAGAGAAGGATGCCGTCTCTTGGAACGTGATGATGGCTGCGTACTCCTCGCGAGGTAAGTTCCAGCAAGCTTTAGAGATTTTCAACGACTGTCTACTCCACTCCGTCCAGGGACCCGATGCCGTGAGCTTTGTCACCGCCATCTCGGCCTGCTGTGGATTAAAAGACGTGAAGCAGGCTAGAGCTCTGGAGGAGCTCAGTTGTTCGCATGGATTTTTGGAGACCAGCGTTGCGGTCCAGAACTCTCTCATCAACCTCTATGGAAAATGCGCGAGCTTGAGCGAGGCCAGGTTGGTTTTTGACAGGATTGCTTCCAAGACTGCTGTGAGCTGGAACTCTATAATGGCAGCTTACGGCCAACATGGAAATAGCTCGGAAGTCTTAAGCTTGTTCCGGAGGATGGACTTGGAGGGCATCGAGCTGAGCAAGGCGACTTATGTCGCAGTTGTCAGTTCGTGCTGCAGTAATGGAGGTGATGCTGAGACGAGAAGAGAAATTTTGTCACAGGTTTGTTATCGCATTCGTGCTGCCCTCTATTCTGATGTGGTGCTTGGGACTTGTCTTCTAGATGCACACGCCAAATGCGGGAGTTTGGAAGGGGCTCGCGCTATCTTCGACTTCATGCCTGAAAAGAATGCGCGGACATGGAATTCGATGATCGGTGCTTGCATCCAGCACGGACACAGCGACGAAGCCATGCAAACGTTCTACGGGATGCAGCTGGAAGGCATCCACGTCACTGACGTGACAGTCATCGTTGTTCTAGGAGCCTGCACATCGGATCAGCACCTCGACTTCGGCAAGAGGATTCAGAAGAGAGTTTCTGAAGGAAACCATGCTCAGCCAGCGACTGCTCTTCAGAACTCTCTCGTCAACATGTACGCCAAGTGTGGGTGCCTTGAAGCCGCAAAGAAGAGCTTTGACGAGATGGAACAGGATACGCGAAGTGTGGTCTCCTGGAACGCAATGATCTCGGCCTACATTCAAAACTCGCGGGATGTAGAGGCCTTGGAATTGTACAAGCAAATGTGCCAGGCAGCAGAGCCAGATTCCTTCACATTCTCAAGCGTCCTCACCGCCTGCTCCAACTTGAATGCTCTAGAGGAGGGGAAGTTGGTCCACCATCAGGTTGAAGCCACTGGAATGGAACTGGATGGTGTGCTCGGGAGTGCACTCATCACCATGTATGGCAAGTGCGAAGACTCCGGCAGTGCTCGCCTGGTTTTTGAGAAACTGGTGGAAGAGCAGAGGACGAGCATGGACGTCGTGTGCTGGAACGCGATGATCTCGGCTTACTCCCAGTGCGGCTGCAGCAGCGAAGCCTTCGAGCTCTTCTACAAGATGGACCTGGAAGGCATCAAACAAGTCAGTGCGAGCTTCGTCAGCATTCTCGCAGCGTGCAACAGTTTCGACAAAGGGATGGCACTCGAGTTACGGCTGGCTAGTGCGGGACTGGATACGAGCCAGGAGATTGGAGCCGCACTGATCAACATGCACAGCAGGTGTGGAAACTTGGACCGAGCGAGACGCGTGTTCGACAGCATGGTGCGCATCAACGACGTAAGAGCATTGCGGAATCCAATCTGCTGGACGGCCATGCTTGCGGCCTACTCCCACCATGGCTGCGCTCGCCAGAGCCTGGAGCTCCTCTTCCTCATGAGCCTCGAAGGCGTCCAGCCCAACGAGATCAACTTCACCAGCATTCTCAACGCGTGTAGCCATGCAGGCCTCAGCAGCCAGGCGTGGACGAGCTTTCTAGACATGCACACCAAGTATGGCGTAGCTCCCGCTGCTCAGCACCTGGTTTGCTTGAGCGACATGCTGGGGAGAGCCGGGATGCTGGGTGAAGCGGAGGCGTTCATCGGGACCTCGACTTACGATGACACTAGTACCGAGGCCGAGTTCGCTGCTGTGGCATGGAAGTCACTGCTCAACGCTTGCAAACTCCAGGGGAATGCCGGAGCTGGAGCTCGTGTAGCGGAGAAGCTGGCCGAGCTGGAGCCCGAGGTGTCGGCTCCTTACATCCTCCTGGCCGGTATCTACGCAGCTCAGACGTGACGATGGAAAGAAAAGTTGTCCGGGAACCCAGAGTTTTATTGCTTGGTGGCGAAGAATATATCTACACGGAGGAACTGCAAAGCAAAAGCTTTCACGAGGCGATGCAGCCCGATGAATCCTTCTGTGGCCGGGGAAACGTACTGAATTTGGACGAGTCATTGTGCTCCGGGGTCCGTTTGGCCTTGGAGTCCTCGGAAGGGCCTGGAGCCGAGTAGCCCGGGGAACTAATCTCCAGTAGCCTCTTCTTTATGTACTCGAAACTAGTGAATGTGATGACCGCCGCCGGCGTTGTTCTCATCAAGTTGGTCGCACAGCCGCGATAGTAGCCTCGAATCCCTTCTTGCTTCCAGATCTTTTGCACGCAGTCGACCACGCCACTGTATCTTGGATTGGCGGAGTTTCCCTGCTCTTGTAGCCTGGATCTCACAACCTGCTCGTTCTTACTCAGTGCTTGATCTTTGATATATAGCCAAGGAAGGAGAAAAAGAAGGCTTACCTCGTGAGGATATGTTACAGTCGAAGCAATCATCTTCGACGCTGCCGACGCTCCAATAACACCCAATGTGCCACTGTCAGCGAGACGCTCTTTAAGATGCTCGTAAACGGGAAACTGAACAGCTACGTGGCTCACCCCAACTAGAGCTGGAACCAATCCACTGCTCGATGTCAAAGCAAGAGAACAGAGTTAGCCAAAACTACGGCTACCAGCGAAAATACATACCTGTACAGTCCACGAAGTCCTTCCTCTCTTCCAATCCGGACGAGGGAAGAGAATGTTCCGGCATACGGAGCGATCCCGGACTTCACTTGCTGAGTCTGTGAAAGAATATCAAACAAATATTAAAGCAAGAAAGAGTGAGCGATCGACATACCTGGAGACGCGTCTTGACAACCCAAAGAGGATTTGTAGCAATATTAGTTGCCGATCCGGCAACTACAGCAGCTATCATGTGTTCGCCAGGAGACAATTTCTTATCGGGAGAGCCATCTGAAAAGAAGGCACGAGAGTAAGCTTGAGGAGAAACAAAGATAAGAGAAGAAGTCACCTCTGCGCTCTAGATACCCTTTCATCTGCTCGTAGGCTGTGAAATAAACCTGTGGAAAGAGCTCGAGTTAGAAACCAGAAAACTTCGTGACATGGATGGATCGATTTGCTGCATACGCACCGCCCAGTTTGGCAGCAATGCGAAGATGGTCGGGGAGAGACCGCGGTACATACCCGCAACTCCTTCATTCTGGAAGATCACCGCCAAGCTGCGGACAATCACCCCACCACCTGGGAAGAATCTAAGTTTTGGGAAGAACAGAAAAAAAAAAGAGAGGAATTTTTATAGTACCCTTCGCGACGGCTTGATCGGGAACAGGAGCTTTGTGAACTTGAAGGCGAGTTTTCACGACATCCAAAGGACACACAAACGTCGCAGAGATTGCGCCTATAGAAAGCGCAAAGAATACAATCGAGATGGAAGATGGACTGGATATTTACCAGCGCCGGCGCCAGCGAGCGCGCTAACGAGCTTGTCGCGCTGGTCTTCTCGGATCCCTTGCAGCCAGCTCTTCATCGCGCTCCCGACTGGATCGGCGTCATTGTGAGTCATCCATCCAATTCGCGAGGCAATTGGAGCGATCGAGCTCCCCGGCAATCACGAGCCCTCCGCTTTCCCCCAACCCTAACCCCGATTACACTGACATTGCGCCACGTGGAAAAAAGACACTGGCCCTTTTTTGGATTCCCTATTTCTATTTCTTTGTTTAGGCGTCTCTTATGCTTTGCTTGGCTCCTCGAGAAACGCTTGTCCCGGTGCGCGCTTGCAAAGGGGCCCGCGAGTCCC